ATTATTCAATGGTCTTAATTATTGATTCTCAGTCTATATTGTTTCAGATAAGGAACGATCAATTACTAAATGATTTGAAGACTATTATCAATTGAATTAGAAGAGTTTATAGAGAATACATTTAACTAATAAAAATAATCAGTCATCATCATCATGATACTGTACAAATATATGCTTATGTTTTCACTTATGTCTCGTAAATTGTTGTAAAAAAATATAATTGTTAAGGCCAATTAATAAGTATAGCTCTGCAAAAATAGAAAAACTTTTTAAAAGTAAAAATTTGATGGAACGACACTCTCTAGCATTATGATTAAACACTATTAGTAGATATTCGATATTAGTGGATGTACGAGTACAGTAATAACGAATAATGAGAATTGCAAATACATAGAATAAATAAGAAGTTTTAAAATAGATGCTAACGAGGGAAGGTTCTCAAGTTTGACTCGCCAATCGAATTGATAGTTTACCCATAAGTAGATCTCAACAAGGCTAGTAGAAACCTGTAATGGTGTGCCCTCGTGTACTATTCTTTCCCAATTATTGAAGTTTTACTACATTTTTTATTTCTTGGAAAGTGTTTATGAAAAAATCGATTTGCGAAATTTCAACGTGGAATTTTGTTCATAGATAAGTCTCGTGAACATGAGAATGTCGTGAAAATTTCAGCTTAAAAAGATGTTTTCTTGAGATATTGAATATTCAAAAACATTCATGTGTCAAAAGAAAACGTAAGAAAATTCAGTGTTTTCTCTATATGATATCTCAAAAACAACACATCTTTTTAGGGTTAGGCTGAAATTTTTAGGGCATTCTGTTGTACACGAGATATCAGTTCGATTGGCAAGTCACACTTAGGATGCTTCCCTCGCAAGTTTATAAAATGTTTAATTTTTAAAAATTTAATAAAGAATAATCGAGTTGATTGTATGGAAAATATTTTCTTTAATCAGCACAATGATGAAACGAAAACTTTCCCTCAACTGACTATCACATGGAAGATTAGATTATCTGAGTGCTGAAGATATATATTTAAAATTCAAATTTCATCTAAAATGAAGAATTTCTTTCCTATTCATTGTGTTTTTTATTTCAGATGGATTTTGATGAATTTATTGAATCTTTGGAGAGTTTACCAATTGATTTAAGTCGTAATCTTCGATTATTACGAGAACTTGATGATAAAAGTTTATCATTAAAATCAGAA